TGTCGGTGGCCGCTGCTGCCAGCCCTGCCGTGGTGGTGGAGCGAGTGAGGGTGGACGTGGGTGCCGTGGCCAGGCTTTAGGGGCCTTTAGGGCCTGCCCTTGCAGGCAGGTATGCAGATGAGCTGATCGCTTGGAAATCGCCCTGTACGGGTGTGCCACTGGCCCTGCTGAGAACTGGGAGGAAAACTGTGCTTCCCCCCCCTCTTACAGCTGCGGTGGTTCCGTGGGATTAAGAGGAGCAAAAAGTAAGGAAATCTTATTTTTATCCGATGGTTTTGAGTTCACTCAGGGGCCAGCGAAGTATTTTTAAGTGGTGACATTCCTCAGAGCAGATTTCTAGTTCCAAAGGTCCCCAAGGAATCCTGTGTTCCCTCTGCCCCCTAAAAAGGGGTACACGCCTTCACGCTCTGTATTTTTGAAGGCCACCGCCAATTAGCTTTTTAAACTCTAGTGTCAGTACTCATCGAAGGGCGACATTCTTTTGCCTTCAGATAACTTCATGAAAGAATGATGCCCTGGTACAGGAGACAATTCTGGAGACCTGGATTATATTATATGAGATATATATATTTTGGGCAGCCTAAATATGTAGGTATCTGTTTGCCCCTGGTTAATGAGGCACACAAAGCTAGCAAACATATGAGTGCGTGCTACCATAATACCCTTTTCATCTGCATCAATGTTTATCTCAAATTTCATTGGTTCCAGATATACACACTCAGTTTTAGTGCTGGTTTCAGGTTTACTACGGCTGTGTTAAAGTCACAAAACTGTATGGTGTCACTATAGTAAGACACTGACCTTTAACTGCCATTGGTATTTAATATTCACTCTGATATTTGATTTAATCTGTGATTCCTATTCCCTGCATTGCTTTAAAAATAGCTAGATTTGCATTTGCTTTTGCTAATGTGTATTTAAAACTTCACTCATATTACTATTAATATCTAGCTTTGCAAGCCAGCATCACACAAGTCCAAATGTACCACTGTCCCTATGAAGAATCCTTTGTTTTCTTTTGGTGATTAAAAGGTTGCAGATCTGTTACCGATAGAAGCCCATTTGCTTGCTTGCTTTTTTAAAAAAACAAAAAGGCATCTAACAAATTCACATAATATTCAGATCTGCTTTTTCTTAGAGTGAAGAAACTGCTTACGCATTTTGATTTATAAATCTGTTTTTCTCATACTGCACTTTCCAAAGTGGCAGCATTGCTAAACCAGACCCCAATGTCCTCGGACACCGATACAGGGTAATGCAATGTTTTCTGAAGTTTGCCACGTGCCAAGTGTTGACAAAGCAAAATGAAGACCCGAGCAGTTGCAAATACTGAGGAAGAGCTGTCTAACTGAATTTCATCATTTTGATAGAGCCATAACACGGCTCTTCAAGATGCTCATTCAAATGGTGAGTTCCTTCCAGCAACAGAACAAACTCAACACCCCATTGAATAAAACTATTTTTTTCTACAAACAGCACTGCAGGCCAAGAGGCAGAGTATGGAGAGAGGAAAAAAAGATACTCAGTGGAGGCTCAGGTGTGGACACATCACTCTCTGTGGGCCAGGTCTTATTGCAGCACTCTTGAGGCAAGGCTTAGGATACAAATGACATGCACAATTCAGCTTTAGCCAGTGGCTTGGCTGGGCATCTTCCTCTCCCTGTCCCCTGTGGCACAAATGGGGGGTGTCTTACTTGCCAAAACACTGGGAGCTGGGGTACACAGGTGCCAGCTGCAGGGCAAGGATGGACTTGGGTACTTTGGTGCACGTAGCTGAATGTTTGAATTGAAAACTGAGATCTTCACACTGTCACTTGTGAAGAGAAGACAAAACCATTTTATTGACCTCAGAAGTTGTGAGGAAATCTCGTTAGTTTTATTAGGTCATATAAAGATACGAGCCTTATAGTTTGGACTCTGGAAAGTGTGCAGCAACAGTAATACTTTGACCCCAGTACCTATGCCAGCATGGCGTGAAGCATACATTAGGGGCTGATCCTGCAGCCTCCGTGTGTAATGGACTTTGGTGGGCGCAACACTTCTTTCATTGATGTAATTTGACTTCAGGAAAGCCACTGCTGATTTACTCCAGCTGTAACTGAGGTGAGGTGCAGGCCTCCTGTTTTTAAGACATTTGAAGAATATAGCAAGTATGCATTATGGGTATGTGTATGCACGTGGAAATGTATGTACACTATTCCTTTACATGATGGTTACATCCTTAGTTCTATAATTGGCACTACTACCATGGTGTCCAAAGAGATATGCTGATCTACCTCAGCAGGGGATCTGGTCTCTGATAGTCTAGTGTCTAAGAGAGGCCCTTTTTTTTCATAACTTTATTTCAAGGAAGAAATACATTTCCTGTGTCCCAAGAGCATAAGAGGACAATTGCTCTTCTTCAGATTTCAGGCCAACATCAACTCCTCCTCGTGAGTGAAGTGTGCACATTACATTTCCAAAGCAGGATCCATACCTCTGGTCTCTCTAGCCAGAGTTGATTTTGCACACAGACGATGTCCTTATTTTTTTTCAAAAGAGCACAGAAAGCCTGGCCTCGTTTACCAAACACAGCAAAAGGATCAACTGGAGTCCTCTGCCCCAGCCCCTTGAATTCAGGAGCATGTCACAGCCTGCACTGGGGAAGCAGCATAAATAACCACAAACTGGGGAGCAGCAGTAGCAGTCCTCAGGGTTTCCTACTAATCTCCCTCCCATGTGCACGCACACACACACACAACACACAAAGAGCTCCTGGGAGCACTTCCACAAAATGAGGTGAGAGATGAGTGTGAGTGAGGAGCATCGGCATTGACCTGTTGTTTCCCACTGCTGTGTGATGATTGGCATCCGTGGTGCTCAGCTTCTCCTTTACTGCAAGGCAACAAAGGAGGCATTTATACCACTCAAGGCAAAGACTGTTCTCGCCTCATGATCCCTTACTAATACAGAGGAGCTGGTGGCAGAAATGGCCCGTTGGGAGCAGCCAAGCACAGCCTGGGGCGGCACTGGTTCAGTTGGGTACATGTAGCTGCAGTCTTGTTAAAGCAGCCTCTGGAAGTGGAGCAAAAGAGAGTGGTGATGGCTCATGGGTGTGCCTCCTCTACAAG